GCGTCAGCAACGCCGAGGGCTGTGGGTAGATAGTGGCAGGGTCAAATAGGCCCACTGGGAAACTCTTGGCAGCTCAGCCCCAACCCTGGGCAGCCAGAGCTTGCCCTCCTACCTAGGGGGCAAGGAGGTCACCCCTCCCATGTGTGGTTGGTGCTAGAGTTGGGGACCACTCTCTCTATTCAAGGTCTCTCTCCCTCTCAGCAGCTTATCCAGCTTCTCAGCCGGCCAGGAGAACTAGCTTCCCAACCTCACTCCTCTGACACTTCCTCGGTGCCCCTTCCCTAGCCCAGGATGGAGGATACTGGGGCCACTCCTCTGACATTCCCAAACTGAAGCTCTTTGCAAAAGTCAGGGGCTCCCTGTTCAGCATCATGTAGAGAGGTCCCAACTCTTCCCGTTATCCAAACGTAGAACACTCCAAGCTCTCACCAATCTAAAACTCCCCAGATTCACCTCAAGACTCCACAGCTTCCTAAGTAGAAGCATCAGACCTTCCTTTCTGCCTCTCTCCTTTCTCTTTCTTGTAGGTAACAACCATCCAATCTTTCTTCCAAAGCTCAGCATCCTCATCAGACCCAATGGGATCCTTGCCCTCATCCTTAATGGTCCACTCTGTCCTTCCAACTTTCCAAGACTGACACCTCTGAGATATTTCTTCAGCATGGTTCTTCAGCCCGGGATCTCAACTCCTCTGTTCTTCAGAGAGTCCCCTCACATCTTCTAAGATCCCTCATGTCAACCTGGGCAATCTCCCAGGTCCCCTAGGATTCTGGAATTCAGCCTGTCTCCACAGAACTCAGGATGGGCTCAGTCTTAGATTCCCCCAGCTTCCCAGGCTGCTTTCCATACCTAATTGTCTGGAATCCCTGGGGCTCCCCTCCCCATGGAAACCAGATCCTCCAAGATCCCAGAGGGACTCGCCAGGCCTGGAGGGTCTCTTCCCAGTCAGTCTTACCCCAGTTCCCCCTTTCCAGGGACCTATCCACGGGGGCAAGGGACCCTCCAGCGCTCCAGGGGAGGGACCTAGAGGGCGGCGACGACTGCAGGGGGCAGGTAGTGGGGTCTGTAAGGGGAAGCAGGGTCTGGGAAAGAAGGCCAGTTCCCGGGCTTCGAGGCTAGAGGAAGGGGAGCTGGAAATGAGTGTGGAGCAGAGGGAGGGTGAGGCTAGGGGCGGAGAAGGTAGAGAGAGGCTGGGCTGAGGATGAATGGGAGTGGGAGCTGCCCAGGTCTGGGGGTGAGGAGGAGCCGCACGAACCCACCTCACACGTGTCCCGGGAGCCATCTCTCCCTTCTCGGCAGCTCCCGGCGGGTCGGCGGCCATCG